GGTACTCCAAACTCACCCTAACCTTAACCATAACTCAAGTCTTGCTTTGTTATTGTTAAGGTTAGTGTTAGTGTGGAGTACTAAAGTTCCTTAGCACCCTTTCTTTTAATTGTTTTTCTTTCTTATGTCCTTTTTTGTATGCTTGACACTGGATAAAAAAGCGCATAGAGACATTGCACTGTAGTATGCACTATAGAAATGGAAGACCATTACTGAATTCTATGATTTGTTTAGTAAAATTTTATCTGGATAGTGTTTAATTAATCATTTCAGAATGGAGGTATAGGGCTGTGTGAGAAAATAGGGAGCTATCGATTGCACGATGACGGTAGGACGTAGAACGTAATGACGTCACTAAAAGTCATCTGCGCATGCGAGAATGTTAAGTTCTCGTTGCTTGGATTCTAGGATGCAATTTGGCCAAATCTATGTATGTAGAGAATGTAGGACGTTCGGTAGGACGGTCATGCTTGAGTGATTCCACTCCAGCGTCACATCATCGAACAAATCAAAAGCTCCGTATTGAATCCGTTGCCCACTTAAGGTCTGTTGGTTATCACGTTCGTTGAAAATTTATCTCAATTGTGTTCTCTCTCCCTCAAAGGTACAAAGTAAACAGCAAGAAATTGTGAAGTTGCAACAGGAGTTAAGTACACATGATGACAAAGTCCATGCTTTGTCCGAGCACTCCCGTAACGTGAACCAAGAGCTAACCCATACCCTGGTAAGTGCAGTATGTGTCAACCTGCCCATGAAATACAAACCTTCTGTATTTGACCTTTTATATATTATAAATAACAAATATTTCATGGAATGTGGGAAAGTTTTCTTCATTAGAAGCCCATTGGCTTCTTTTAAAAATGGTCATCTTTTTGAGATTACTTTTGCAAACTAAAGAGGGGGCTCTTTTTTGAGATGGGCTTCTTCTCGAGATTAAGCCCATGGGCTTCTATTCTATGAATAAAATAAGTGAATCATATTTCATGTCTATATTTCTTTAAATCAATAAACTTTTCCATTAAATAGTAAACAAATAATGAATGTTTATTAGTGCAAGGGGAAGAATATTTACATGAGTTGAATGGAACAGCAAAATAACCAATGTTACGTGGTAAATCAAATGATGGATCTATTTAGGTGTGTTATAATATACCATAATATACATATATAGCAGTGTTAATTAAGCTTAGCCATTGTCATAGCACCACTGAACATGCAGTCTGTTGTAGATATTGGTGCTATACAAACCCATGTTGATTGATTGACATTTATTTGGAAGTTGAACCATAGCGTATGTTCCATTGCAGGGTTTATGCAAAGCACGTGAGCACCAGGTGGAAACAGAAGATCACCTGAAGCAGATTGCTCAGCGAGAAGAAGGTAGACTGAAGCAGGAGATCAAACGAGTTGAAAATGACTTGACCGATATTAAAGAAAGAAAAAATATATATGAAGTAAGTTCTGCCTACTCACATCCAATCACAGGATTTATACTTAGGATGGTTACATTTTTAGAAGGAATAGATGGATGCATATGAACTGCTTACTAGTTTTATAGGAATATGTGTGGGACTAACTTTAATAAATGGTGACATTTCTTTAAATAAAAAAATAATTATAAAAATAAATGATGATGATAATTTTATTAATAATGATAATACACTGATATAATATTAAAAATAATAATGTTAAATAGTAAAAATAACACTAATAATGATAATATACTGTAATGATAATAAAAATAGTAATGATAATGAAAATATATGACAATGATGATAATAATAATAATGATTATAATACCATTTAAATTGATTGATGATTTTTCCCCCAGAATACTATATTTAAAGATACAAAGCAACTGGAGGAGCTGAAATCCCAGATGAACTGGGACCAACAAGCACTAGAAGCATGGCTGGAGGAATCCGCTAGGAAAGACGAAGACTCCATGACGTTAGCCAAGTACACGCGTATGGACGAGGCAAAGGTCAAGGTGAGACTCTTCCAGGTGTAATTTTAAAGGGCCATACGAGCATGTGCCTAGCAAAGTTTTAGAAAAATTAATTCTTAATTATTAAACTGACACGCAACAGGTGCTGACCTTCGTTCATTTAGGTCAATCACTGGCCAATGACAAGGTGTATCTCCATACTCTAGGTGGGGTGGGAGGCTGGCTTGGCAAGAAAAATTTCTTTTTTTTTGGCATTTCCATAAATCTGTACACTTATTTTGTTTTTATTTTTTTACAATCCATAGACTTTTTAATTTTTTAAATATTTTGTGATTTATAA